AAATTTTTACCATGACGTGTTTAACTATTTTACTGTAAAGTAAAATCAAGCCATGCTGTGAACTGTTGTGAATGCAACCAAGTGCTGTAAAACTCTTATTAAACTACAAGAGGTAGTTTATTCACAACATCAGCATGTTCCAGCCCTGCATTTATCTACCACAAAAGCTAGTCTATTCACAAGATGACCATGTTGTTGACAAGGGTTGATGAGCGTTTACTCATTCAGAAATAAGCAACGGTAATCCGCAGAGATTTGTCTCAGGCAATGCGTTGAAACTTTCCATTTCTTTTCAGCGGGTATCTGGGTCCTGGAGGTCTGGAGAATGGTGGGAGGTTCTTCAACTGTACAGGCGGGGCTGCCGGGTACCTGGACCGCAAGATTTTTGGCCCCGCCCACATTTATAGGCACCCAACGAGCACGGTGAGTCCGTCCATGCTCTCAGACCCAAATTTACGGAGTTATTGGCACCCATGTCCCAACCAACACCGGAGTTTCTGTTGTGAGCACCTCAGTTCCCCAGTGTCGTGTGTTCATAATTATAGGTCATCTGTCAATGTTTGATGAAAACCAGTGCATCTGCAAAGGAGAACGTTTCTTAACACATTGCAGCCTAACTCGCCCAGGATCGCCCGAGAATTTCCATACGCGCTCCACCCTAACTCGCACAGAACCGCTCGCGCCGGCCTAGCGTCTTTAGAAACGAAGTCTCGCCTTGACAAGACTCTGGGGCCGAGATTTTGATTTGCATAGCTATTGCAAAAAGTTTCCTCTTTCGGTTGATACCGAAACAAAATTTTTCGGGACAGTAGTTTTAGTATTACAGCCGATCGAAGTGCGATTGCTTTACCAACACTTCGAAGGTGTCTCGACTTGTTGAAAAGCGACCCAATTGAGTTCGAAAAAGGAAATAACGATGGATTTGATCAAAAACAAGCATATGACAAATCAGATGACTCTGATTTTGATGAAAACGTTGTTGCAAGAGTTTAGGGTGATTCAGATTGATCAGATGTAGAAAATCTAGAATTCAGATCTAGGGTCCGACCTCGAGGCTGAGAGTGAGAGTGATGGGTGAGACACCCCGATTGAACTTAAAGTTAGAACATTTCCAACAGTTTGCGCATACATAAAGTTATATTTTTCTGAAACTGCATTCATTTTTCTTTTTAACTTTTATTTTTTTTTCTGGATTTTTGGAATTTGTTTAGTATTTTTAAAATGTGTTTTTTAAACGCTTGT